ACACCCAGCTCACCAATCTCCCAGAGTTTAGAACATCACTGCATTGGAATTTAGATGCAGTTGATAGACTACAAGCCTGTCTTGAAGAAAGGACTAATGCAAGTGCTTATCAATGAGGAGCGATTTCATCATGTGGCAGAGAGAGGATAAAGTTCTTACCCCTGATTCACAAAATGTGCAGGCAATATGCTTACCATGATATGAGCTGCCCTCAGGCTAGTTCACAGAAACACATAATAATAAAAAAGGATATTGTGGGTTTCAATTAATTCCACTTTAAGTTATTAAATATGTTTACAAATATAACTCCTTGTACGTATCACAACCCAATTAAATTGTGCCCATGCCACTGAGCAAGAGATACCATTCAAATCATCCTCATTTTGACGATTAAGGGTTAAAAGACATCCCTGCCAAAAATTCCTTGAAACAAAACGCGGCCGGAGTACTATAGATAATTGGTCAGCTGAAATAAAATGCTAGGGGAAACTATATATAATTGGTCCAAAAATACGCATAAGCTCCTCACACGTAGCGCACACGTAACAGGTAGAGAAACCTAACCCACTACCTTGTAACTTGAGGAGACAAAGAGCTGCCACCTGCCAAAAAATTAAAGATTCCATATAACGGTTCACGATTGGGCATCTCTGTCAAACACCTCTGCCTATAAATAGTTTAACGGTTTCCGCCCAAGTCGGAGAGCTCTGGGGATCTCACAGGAAACACCTGTGCTTGTCACCAGAGAATTGGGAAATTGATCAATTCCTAATCAATCACCCCGTCAGCGTAAAATATTGACGTAGAAAGTCTTGCAAGCCCGACCATTCGTTCCGGTGCCACGTCCGTCATTATCTCGTTGTAACCTGACTGCGTGCGTGTACTCGACTCTGTAACCGAAGTTATATGCGTATACTCAACTCTGTAACCGAAGCTGTAACGGAACAAAGGCTCGCCTGCGTCGTCCATCACTATCTAGGCGACGTAAGTAAACAAACTCCTGTAACCTACACGTGTCTGTGCCTGGTTAATTCCACTCCATCCATCACTACCTGCCTGCTGAGCTCTTAATCTAAACACTCCGGTGTGTGAGTCAGACAAGCTGCTGGCGGCTGCTCTGATTCACGACAGTACGGACATGCACAACATTCTATTTGTGAAAAAATAATGACATTTTAAAAATTAGTGATGGGGTGCTTTCGTGTACTAATTTTGCCTGAGTAATTTGGTATTCAGACACCTAAACATTTGATTGTACTCACCACAAATTTGCACACGTAAGATTTCATGGACAAAATAATAAAGGCATATATTTCTTCGGACATAGGACACAAGACTATTCAAACAACTCTCATTAAAAACTGGATGCAAGGTCCTTTGGCCAAACTGGGCCTCCATTCTGTGCCCCCCTCAATGCCAATGACTGAATACATCCCCAAGAGCCCTGTGTTCCCTGTGTGTTCTCACTCAGCCACCAACTTTGCATCCAAAGACTGCATCAGGCTTTCATTGGTTCCTCCCTGTCTCCAGAACAGGCCACCTTTTCCTCTTAAGACAGCAACCAGCAGAAAACAGAATCACACATAACCAGGTGCTCACATTGGAATAGATACACACTTGAAAAGGAGGGGTTCTGGAAAAGGGAAAACTATCAAGTCCTCCCAAGAGTCTGAAACCACTGCTACATCCACTCCCTACATTGCTTGAACCCACAGCAGTAATATAATAACAGGCCTGCAAAAGTCCTACAGTCCAAGCAGCACAAGGTGATCTGAAGCCATCATTGCTCCTCTTCTTTCATCTAGCACAGGAACTGAGAATTGCTGCTTTTTCATGCTGGTTTACTTAATTTACACATCTAATTCAGCCAAAGCAGAGCTGTCTATTGAGTATTCAATAAAGTATTTACTATCTGTTGTGTATAACGGATGGCTCTGCTTTTGCTGAGTCACATATAAAAATCTTACAAGAAAGCCAAAAGATAGCCTCTCTCTTTTTTCCATTTACCTTTGGTTCCATTCAGGAACCCCTAGAGAAGTCAACTTTGTGGTTTCCTATGGCTTGCACTGGAGAGAGGAAACCAGAAATATGCTGTTGGGGTCATATTCTACCCTCCCCTGTGGTCTCCCTTGCGACTGATAGCATTACTTTCAGCAAAAGTATTCTTCCTGTGTCTCCTAATGCCAAGAACTGGAAAATTAAAAGGGATTAAGTTTACAGTTGTCTGCCAAACAACTTCAGTGCAATTCACAAAAGCCCTGTTTATTGAGTATTATTATTAATGACAAGCAGAACACAGTGAAATTGAGGACATTCTTCCTGGAATATATCCAGGTCTTTAGAAAGAATATAGTGTTTTACTTCAGGTTCTAATACAACATAACAAATTTATCCTAAATCCCAATTTGAACATTCAAAAGCATCAATATTAAAATTGCTTTCTTATTAAAACAATAATCCATTACAATTAAAGGTAGAGTTACACACAAAAATACCTAAATCCCATATACAACTGCAAAAATATGGGCAGATTAACATTTTCAACCAGCCTTCAGAAATGTGACTGCTTATATTTCAATTGTTTTTAATATTAGTATCAGAACCACTGGGCCAGATTCTACTATTCCATTTATTTCAATGATAGCTCTGAAAGCATGCAGAATCATAGGAAAGTAGGGCTGGAAGGGGCTTCATGAAGTCATCCCTGACTAAACCAACCCAGAAAAGTGTCTGTCTAACCTGCTCTTGACAATTTCCAGGGATGAAGACTCTACAGCCTCTCCAGTATTTGATCACCCCTCATATTCCAAAAGTTCTTCCTCATCTCCAACCTAAATTCCCTTTGCTGCAGTTTCAGGCCATAGTTCACAGTCCTTTCTTCTGCTACCACAGACAAAAGGTTATCTCCCTCTATAATCACCCTTCTGGTTTCTGAAGACTGTTATAAAATCCCCTCTCAGTCTTCTTTTCTTCAGAATAACAATCCTAGTTCTTTCAGCATTTCCATAAAGTCATGCTTCCCTTTCTTCTCTCATTTTTACCACATTCTGGGTGCAACTAAATGTTCATGAATGCACGCTACTTATTGCGCATTAAGTTTAGTATTTGCATAACCAAGTACTGAATCAATGCACAGTAACTGGCACTACTGTACAGTAGCACTAGTACACGGGTTTTCATAGGCACTAACTGCACAGTAGCCTAATACTACTGTGCAGTAGTGTATTAACATGGGTTCTGTCCAGCACACTACTGTGCAGTATTAGGCTACTGTGCAGTTAGTCTCTTGTGTAGACTCACCTTCTGTTGGACTTTTTCTAATCCATCCATACCTTTCTTGATGTATGGGGCCCAAAACTGGACACAGTATCGAAGTGGGACCTCACCAGTGTCACAAAGCGTGGAATAGAGTGGAAAAATTACTTCTCTTGATTTGCAGGAGAAATCCCTGTTATTACAATCCAGTATGCTGTTGGCTGTTTTTGCGACAAGAACACGCTCTTTCTTCTGGCTTGGTGGCCTATAACAGATGCTGACCATAACATCCTATCTACTGCTCTCTCCTCTCATCTTCACCCACAGGCTTTCAGCAGGCCTACCTCTTACTTTGTACTGCACCTCAGAACATGAGTGCCTCTTTTATACCACATTTTCTCATATTTTCTCCCTGTATATTATACACAACTTTGTTTTTGAGACAGAACATGAAGAAAAAAATATGTCCTTATAGTAATTGAATAGCAGCAGCTAGGGAGCCAAGCCAGCTTCATGAGCCTGCTGCCAGCCCTGCATGCCAGATGGAGCCCATAGACTAACTCAGGACACTGGAGTCAAGACCATGTACCAAGCCTGGGGCTGTGCGCCAGGTCCCACTTTGCATACTGTGTCCGAGACTGCATACCAGGTCTGTCCACAAACCAACTCTGTACACCAGCCGAGTCTGGCACACGGGGCCATATCATCTGGCCAGGGGGCTTTCCATAGGTCCAGAAATTCAGCAGTAAGGTAAAGATGGCAGAGTTAATTGCCATTTTTCTTGCAAAAATTGTACACCCCAATTTCTATCAGTTGGTTTTGGGAGAAAATGTGGTGGTTATATGCAAGAAAATATGGTATATAGGGCAACACCTGCTCCTTCTTCCCTTGCCTGTCCTTCCTGAGCAAGTACTATCTATCCATGACTGTATCCCACCCAGGTGAACTATCCTACCATATCGCCATCATCCCAATTATGTCATAATTCAACAATGGTAAGAAGACTTCTAATTCTTCCTGTTTATTCCCATGCTTCTCACATTAGTATATAAACATTTTTAAAAACTACCTGATTGTCTATCGGAAGATTACTAAGGCTTCCACCATTACCTCTCCTTACTATGTTTTTATCAAGGTCCCCTCTGGCCCTTTACTTGCCTCCGGGCTCTTGTCTCCATCTCCTAGTGAATCTAGTTTAAAGACTTCCTCACTAGGTTAGCAAGCTGTATCTGAAAACACACTTCCCTCCTTTTTGGCATATAGACCCCATATCTATTCAGTTAACCTGCATTGTTTCAGCAAGTACTGTCTCAGTTTTCTTTTAGCTGTACAAACAACCATGGGATATGCATTTAACACATGTTCAAAATGTTTCCATTTCTTTGATTCCAGAGATGATCTCCCAGCAAATAACCAAGTTAAAGTATTTCACTGTTAGACAAAATTAGACAGAGGCCTTAAAACAAACCCAAACACTGATAATATTTGATTGAATGCCAGAACTGAAACTGGAGCCAAACTTTGCAGCTGACCACATTGCCATCACAGGACCAAGCAAAACCTTGAGTTCAACTGCTCCTCAAAATTTCCAGATGGAGTTTTGTTTAGGAATTAAAGCCAAGTTTTTCTTGGATCCAAAAAAAGCCTACATATTCAAGGTCTGAAATCCCAATCCAAATGTTGCAGTTTGAATCCATTCTCAGATTATATAGATGCAAGATATATGCTAGTGGGGAGAGACTCACTTGATCTCCTTCTGTGTTGCTCTCCTTGGAGCACAGGCATCTGTATGACTCACTACTTGTGTCACAACGGTCAGCATGGCCATGGCAATCACATCTGCAAACAAAACAACAGCTACTAAAGCAAATACACTAAGCTTATTACTAGAGAGATATCTCTCAGTTTTTACACTGTCATAAAAATTATTTTTTACAAAGCAGAAAACTAAATCTAGGAAGAGAGATTTTCCTAAGTATAATAACCATTAGATGTCTTCTCCATTCAACATTTAAAATGTCAAGTACGGTTTTCCAGAGAAGTAAATTAACAGAACCATGTCCTGAACCAACTTTTATGCTATAATATTTGCATTATGTTCTTTCTTAATATAATATGCAGATGCAAGGCCCTCATTATTAATTATAGTTAATGCCTGTCTTGTCAACATTAACCCCTTGATCCTATACTGTGGCCATAATATCTTAAAAATCTTAGACATAACAAGGTTAATTATACAGGAACTAATTTTGCACTCTGTTAAAAGATGCAACCACCACTTAAGTACTATGATAGAAGTCAATGGGTGATACACCTGCCCAACTGAGGGCAGAACTGGGCCTGCAGTCTTTTTATCTTAAGGTTTGACATTTCAGTAAAGACTGATGTAGAACTAGAACTATGGAGTCACAGGGTCATCAAGAGAGAAGCTGATTCAGTAATCACAATACATCTAAACCAACCATCAAAATTATTTCACCAGGAAAGAAAGTTATTTTAATTTAAGATAAATGTGATCTCTGATAGGGTGTTTTCCGATAAATTAAGATCATATCTTTCAACACAGGTTCAGAAATAACACTTGTTCACAAAATCAGCACTGTATGCTTCTAGAGAGACTATTTCATTGCTAAATTTGCATATTATTTACAGGGCATAATTAGTCCTGTCACAAGATCACTCACTTAACATATACAATAAAGTTGTCAGTCACAGATAATATAACAGTTTTACTGACAGCTGCCCAGTTTTTTTAATGAAAATCTGTAGCTAAAACAAAGACGTTAGCCCTGTATAAAGACCATTAAAATTGCTATGTCTGGGAATCTATAATGAAACAGAAGAGATTCTGCAGTAAACCAGAAGTCAGACTTAGAATCATCAATCCCTATTTAGAGGAGTTGATATGTCCAAGAAAAGAACCTATTTTGACAGATTTGTGTAATTAAAGTCATTAATTTTAAACAAACGTTTGGGTAACTGTTCAGATTATAGGGTGCATGGGTCATTTAAGGCCTGATCCAATACTGTAAAGCAGGTTCTCTTCTCAGTCACAGGAACATAAAATCAGGGTACATCTACTGAATTTTAGATAGCTAATTACACAGCATGCATGTTACTGAAAATCTGAATAGTTCAGAAGCTTCTTCAGCAATAAAAAAGAGAATTCGTAAAGCTCCTACCTTCCACTTATTGTAATTTCATTAATTCCATAGTATCTGTGCCTGAAGTTTACATTTGGCTCACTTGTATAATACTGACCAAGGAGATGAAATCTCACTTGAGTGGCTTTTACAAATTCTTGAAGAGATGGAGTATTGTAGAAGTTATTGTAACCAGGCCGACGATTTGGTTCTGGTGTTAGAATGCTGAAAGTAACATTACCATGGGAATATGGAGTAAAGCTGTTTAAAACAGAATAGTGAGACAAATGGAGAAATTGAAAGACATATTTCAGAAGGTTATATATTCTAATATTCCTGTTTTCACAAAGGGCTTTCATCAATGAAAAATTGCTTTAATGTGACTTATAATGTGCAAAATTTGATGCCAATGGTATTGTCACCCACAGAGCTCAAAAGAGGAAATATACACAGGTTTATCATCTATGTCTGCTTCCCACATTTTGTGCTCCAGAATCTAAATATTCATTTTTAAATAAATAGAAAAAAAATCTCTATTCACTATGGTTGCAAAGAAAACCTTCAAAATATGAACCAAATGTAACTAATAAGTTGACATCTGCCCAGTTTTCAATAAGCCCAAAATAATGGCACTGAGTTGCAGGAATTGCTCTTCAAATATCCAATGATAATGAATCAGGTACGTGCATTATTAACTATTTTTCTGCCAATCAAACTATGTAAAAATGTAGGGATGATATTACATTATGACGATTTTTACAATATACTCTGGCACCCTAAAAAGGCAAGTATAAAGGAGGCAAATAGAACCCACCAGGCATTAAAGTGAGTCAAGGCCAATGAGCTCAGGCTGAGTACTTGAGCCTCGTGAGGGCACAGCCCTGCAAGCTTGAGAAGCCATGCAGAGCCCAGCAAAACATGAATAATCAAGATGACCATCTGCAGAAGTTTACTGTGAACAGTGTCTCATTTTGACATATTTATGGATGGAAGTTAACAGGGAGCCAGAGCAAGAGAACTACTAATTTTATACTCACAATATTGTACTTATTAAAGCCTATACATCCAAAAGCAAGATCAAAACATAGCAGTTAATGCACACAATTCTCATGAATATATTTTTCCTCCACAAACTACTAGGTTGTTTGAAACTTGGTGGTTCTTGCTTGGAATGTTTATAAACAGGCCCCAGTTTAAGTCTTTTTTCTGTAGTATCCTCTGGTAGTACAGAACCTTAAGTCTCAGTGATGCCTCCTTGACTTCTTTGTGCCCCTACATAGGCCAACGTGTCTCCACAGCCACCCCATTCCGATACAGCATGGGGGCACTGGCTTTTCCAATAATTATGGCTGGGAGGCCACAAATGTATCCCCATGCCACCTCTCATTGATTCTTGTGCCCTATGAACATTTTCTGCACAGACTACTTTTGGCTTAGTTTCTGATGATGACACCCTAGATGTGTATTGCTACAAATTTGTACTTGTTGCTACTATGGGGACATCTTCAAGAATAAGATCTACTGATCAAACAGAGTATGGTTTGGATAGTTTATATCTGAAGTAATAATATAACATAAAATATCTACTCGATTCCAGTGAGAAGGTAGGAATTAGGTTTACACGTTACTGTCCTTGATAGATTCAGTAAATGTTTTCTAGGGCTGTGCAAAGCTTCAGGTGCTGATTGGATTTGGAGGAGATTCAGCCTGATTCGGCAGCTGAATCTCTGAATCCAAATTAAATCAGGAAACCAATAAAAAGGTCTGAATTGATTTGGAAAAGATTCACAGAAAGATTCAGAGATTCGGCAATTCAGGCAGTCTCCACTCACCGCCAGAGGGAGCTGAACCTGAGTTCCATGCCAGTAAGTAGGAGGCGGCGAGGGGGGAGGGGACCATGGGGGGATCCTCAGGAGGCCCCATCCTCTGCCTGCTCCTCCAGTCCTGCTGAGTACCCCTTGACCCCCGCCCCCTCTCCCAGCCCCGTCAATGGCTGTCTTGCCCAGCCCCAGTCCCAGCTCTTTAAAAAAAAATAAAGGCCTGCATTCATTGGCTTCTGCCATGTGGTGGGTGGTGATTTCCACTGCCCCCCCACTGCCCTGCGCTGCATGGGGGGCTCTGCCACGAGCCCCCATCCCTCGCCCGCTCTCCCAGCCCTGTCAATGGCTGCCCCACCTGGCCCCAGAAAAAAAAGGAAAAAAAAAAGAAGAAAAAAAATCCAACATATTTTATAAGAACTCTTCTCTTCCCTGTAATACCTGCTAACTATACAGAATAGACATTGGTCTTAAGAGACTTTTTTGGGTTTGTTTTTTTTTTAAATGAAGCCCACTGTACATCAGTCGTACATAACAACATCTTTCACTTGAATCACTTCCTATTATCATTTATGTTATATAATTGAAGGGGAAAACTGTGCTACATTATAAAACATTTATGGCAACAGTTTATACATTAGATCTTCATTTCTTTTAGGAGACATGTTAATTATGTTTTATGTTGGAATGGACTTTATTTTACAGCTAATTTTGATTATTTGCCAAAACTGTTTTGTTTACTTACCTAATGAATCTACTTTCTCTTCTTCTTTCTCCCATGAACAACAATGTTAAATGATTTTTGTTAAAAACTAATTTAACTCAGGTGACCTCACATTACTTCCCTCAAAATACTGAACTCTTTGAGTCCAGGGAAAAATGCTGACTCTTTGAAAGCTTCAGTGAGGTGGCAAAAGCGAAACGAGAAAAAAAAGTAAAGTGCCTACAGCACCTGGTACTGAATTCCCAGACTGATTTCCAACCAGGTACTAAATAGGCTTAACACCAACTGGCATCTGCAATGAAGCAAATATTGGTGCATTTTGACAGATGCAGCGATAAGCAGAAGTGGTGTTTTATTTTTTAATTTACGCATGCTAGTCAGTGTAATAGGGGACTGACAATATATTTCTGAGAGTAAATTCACCACAAAAGATAATTTGGGTTCTTGCTTTAAATACCAAATGCATTAAAATGAATGTCTACCCATATGTTGTATGTTTTTCACATCTCCAATTCCAACAGTCTAATTTTATTTTTTATTTTACTTTATTCCTTGTCCATCCCAACACAGACCAGTAAGTTTCAGAGAGAAAGGTGCAATTCTCAGAAGGCATCAGTCAAGTAATTTTTAAAAATTAACTGGTGCTCAAAATCAATTAAATAAGTGCCATTCTCCACCCATCCTATCACTGCTCCATAATTTCTTTACTGAGTGACTATAGTCGCAAAAACCATGAATATACCAAATGTCAATGTTCTATTCAATATGCTCAACCTTTCTGTCTGTGGGGCTAGATAGGCAGTGCTCAGTCCCTCCATGAGACAGATCCAGCCAGTGAACCCAATCCAGCACCCAAAGTGGGGTGCCATCTGGCCCCGTGAAGGGCAGTTGAGGGCAGCCCAGCCC